TGCCTACCAGCCTGTTACTGGAAGAAAATGGCAACAATTAGGGTAACAACGGAGTAAATACCGCTCGCCCCGGGCTACAGCCACTGTCCTGCCCAAAAATGCTTCATAAGCATGAGGCATAGTTGCTGTCACTGAAAGAGGTTAGAGAGAACATTAATCTCTTGCCTTCCTTGGCAAGCCTGAGTGCCTGTCCTTGGCCTGTCACCACCCATGCCCCAGCTTTTTATAGTCCTAGGGCGAACTGGTGGAGTAGGGGCCACCTCTTCTTCCTGATGACCCTGTTGGATACAGCAGCAGGGCTGCAGTGCAAGTACTCGGTGCTGTGAATTTGCATGCAGGAGTGCATGGGAAGAGCAGGCAACAAGGTAGGCAGAGCCCTGCCACAGAGCCTGGCAGACAAAGCACTTAAGCCAGGGTGGGCAAATTAAGTTACACCATTAAGAGATTTTAGATGTCAAACTTTGTCATTTCCTAACTTACTTTCCTTAAGTGAGGGTGACAGAGACTTATAACAGAAACAGAGAGATGCACTTAATGGAGGTTAAGATAGTTTCTGTAAACAAAGGATTTTCTTTTAACTATACATGGCAAGTAAAAGCACCGGAGTATTCAGCACCACCTCGAGCATTCAACGCCACCTCAGCGCTACTGCAGCTCACTGAAACACCACTAGCAAAACACCGGTCAGGCAGCAAACCCCAAATTACCAACCGGCCTGAGCAGGGACGGTCCCCTCAGCCTGTCACCAGAGGTTTGTTACTGACAGCTGAAAAGGGACGGTACCCGCAAAGCAAAAATACCCATAAAAGATACAAACTCTGCGGGCTACCAATAATTCTGAGGAGGAAAGGGAAGGGAGTACAGAAAAAGGAAAAGGAGATGAAGGGAAGGAAGAAAAAAAGAAAAATATAAAAGGGGAAAAAAGGAAAGGAAAAAGGAAAAAAAAAAGAAAAAGGAGAAAAAAAGAAAAAAAGAAGAGGAAAAAAAGGAAAGGGAAAAAAGGAAAAAGAGAAGGAAAAAAAGGAAAGGGAAAAAAGGAAAAAGAGAAGGAAAAAAGGAATGATAAAAAGTAAGAGAGAGAAAGGGGAAAAGTAATAAGAAAAAGAGAAAGAAAAAGGGGGGAAAAAAACTCGGGTGGAGGCCGGAGAGGAGGGTCCCCGAGCCCGCCCCGGCCCGGCCCCACCTCCTCCCGGCCCGCCCCCTGCCAGTTAACATTGCCAGTGTTCATTCTGAAGCCTAATGATGGCCATGTAACTAAGTTGGCATCCGGCCCGCCCCCTGCCAGTTAACATTGCCAGTGTTCATTCTGAAGCCTAATGATGGCCATGTAACTAAGTTGGCATCCGGCCCGCCCCCTGCCAGTTAACATCGCCAGTGTTCATTCTGAAGCCTAATGATGGCCATGTAACTAAGTTGGCATTGCTTGCTGTTACCCATGTGGACAGCAGGACTAGTGGGAGTTTATGAACTTGGGGAGGGTGTTCCCTTTTCCCTAATTCAGCTCTGACTAGTCCTGCTTTATGTTGGCTTTTGCTCAGCTCTAGCCCTGTGCCCTCCCAGCGCAGGGCCGGGGACGGCGGTGGCACAGTGGGGCTGCCCCTTTCCTGGGGCTCTCCTCTTCACCTGTGCTGCTGCCCTGGGTGCTGCAGAGCAACACTAACGATCTTGGCAACAGAGAGGGCAGGCTGCCCCTTGGCATATAAAATACCTTTACAGTTCAACTTTTGAAAACGGTTGTGACTGCTGCCACTTTGTGCTTCTGCCTCCTGGTCTGCCCAGCCTCCTGGCACAGAGTCTGCCTCTGCTGCCCAGCTTAGTGCAAGGTGGGCACTCGGAGGCAAGGGGAACCCCTTGTGAACAAGTCTTTGGGTGAGCACAGTCCCCCCAGGCACCACATG